AACTGAGGGCGGAAAATAAGACATTTAAGTTAGAAGTTTCTATTTTGTTTTCTATTCAGTTTTTTCATTGTAAACTATCTGTGTAACTAAGATTTTTCTTCATGTCAGGGCTTAAAGTCAAGTCTTTTAGTTCAAAGTGTTTGGGTTCAGTTTGTTTTTGGAACATCCTCTATGTTGAGCTGTTGAGTTGCGTTATGACACTTTTTTTACATTTATGACAAAAATGTAGTCTGCAGTTCTGTAGGAAGTACTGAGTCGTTAAACACTAGATGAGTAAAATAAGTCAGAATGTCCACAGCCATCTAACTTTATTTCCTAACATTCTATTTACTTACTTAATTCATTCATACTTAATAATCTTAACAAGATGATCCCTACATTTTATTCCTAAATTCTCACAGTGATGTCATGTCTCTACATTCATATTATTATATGACATTTTGCAGTTTATATTTTACTCCTCATTCTGTGTCCCCTCCAGTTAAAGTATTTCCCCGGCTGCTGTTCGTCCACACATACCACCACTAATCAAACTTCTTTAAAACTGTAGGAGGATCGACCTGGAATTTCAATGAACCAGCCAGACCTTGAGCCTGGCTCAGAGTCCTGGCTGGACCTTTTCCAGTCTCTCAAAGAGGAAACTCTGAGAAACTTCTCATCCAATTTAGGGAAGTTTCCATGGCTTTGCACTCATTGGTCTCCTCTCAGGTTTCCAAAGTGCTTTAGTGTTTGGTCTGTCCTGAACCATGATGAATTTCTAATTCTGTACAACCTATTTTTTCTATGTCTACTTTCTGTCCATTTACACAAACACACACACCTCTAAAACATTTTTTTTGCTGGACTTGTCCTTTGAGGCCCAGCCTATCGTCGCTCCCCGCAGTTCGACCGTGATCTCTGGAACAATCTGATTGGTCTTGTTCTGCGTAAAAGACGATGAAAAAAAGACAGTGCTGCTTATAGAAACTGACAGCGCCACATTCCTGGAAGCAAGCTGCACTAAACAAAAAGCTGCTGCTGTCACTGTCAGCTCATGACCTGTGGGTATGTCTGCTCTGTCACTCCAACTACAGATGGGAAAAGGTTCAGTTCAAAGTCTTACAGAGAAGATAAGACAAAAACAAGTTTACAGTAAAAAAAAAAAGTCTGAATGGAGCAAAACCATATTCATAATAAGTGATTTCCACTGCTTTCCTCCTCCACCCTTCACCCAAAGACATATTCAGTGTGAATCGTACCGAGGCTCCTGTGGCTGCAGACTTTGGGTCTTTGTGGAACGTCAGAACACCTCCGTGGAGAACCGTCCATGTCTGAGCCCAGTTTTTCCTGTCACGAGGGAACAAAGATGGTTCACAGCTTCAAGGCAAAATGACACATGACTCCACACCCAAACTGAAATGTGAGATGGGATATTGTAGCAAAAACCAAGCACTGTCCATTTACCTTACTTTCTTGCCATTTTCACAAACTTTTGTCTTGTTGAGGATTCCAGCCTTCTCTAAGTTGTGCATCTGAAAATGTTGGAAGAGTAAGATTTAGAATCTCATTGGATCATTTGTTGTCCTTAGACTCACTATATTGGATAATTACATGGTGATGAGGTGCAGACAATAGTGATTAGATGTCATCAGTAAAGGCATGAACACAAAAAGCACTAATAAAAAAATTACTTAAACTCTCTCTCTCTCTCTTGTTCCACATAATAAGCTTCCATAAACTTCTGCTCCATTTTGTCTTGATGCCATTTCTATATAATATTCACCATAAACTGAATTACATGCCCCCATTTTTTATTATTTTTGGGTTTGAGTTTAAAGTCCACGAATAAGCCGCTAACTTTGGATTTACTCGACTCTGTTCTGCTATAGCTATAGCACTGAGCTGCCCATTGTTTGAAGCAGGAAAAAAAAGCATGAATAAAAATGGACACAATTTGACGTCAATGTAAAATAAAGCAGCAGATGACTTGACCAGAGCACTGAAAAAAATGACGGCTTCTTTTTTTAAATAACACCAACAGCGGACAGGAACAAGTTGGGGTTTAGTGTGTTGTCTATGGCTACACCAGCACATACGGTATAGACTAAGTTGTAGGAGCTGGAGTCACTTTTCCAAAACAGCTTCAATCTAAGCTGCACTCTTCTTTGGATCAATGTGAAACTGTGATCCAAATCGATGGGATTTTCAAGAACATCTGATTATGTGACGTCTGTCTGATGCTGCTGTGACGCTCGGCTAATTTTAAGTTGAACACGTCAAGCTGATGTTGACTTCTAAATGAAACTTCCCTTTTTCTTCTCTCCAGAAATAACAAAAGCAGAATGTCTGCTTCAGTCCCACAGCTCTTACCTCTACTACTTACATCAACAGTCTTCTTGCCTTCCTTTACTACAACCACCAGTTCTGATGTTCTCTGTCAATTATATCCATAGGTTATCACCCAAAAAACTTTACCGCTCTAATACTGCTTATAAATCTGCAAAACCTCTTCACTTCAGCCGCCTGACCGTGTCCATCCACCCCACACTATCCCAGCATGTTCAGCACAATGCCAGTGTTGTAGAGACAGGCATTAAAACAAGTCTCACAAGCAAACCTCCCTTTCACACCTGCTTTTCTGTTCCACTTTGAATATATTTCCCTGTATGTCATAACATCCTTTCACTGCATTTTGACAAGGAAAACAACAATAATTACCTACCAACACTAACACTAACCTACAAATCTACTAACATCCACTGTCCAGGTTTCCCATATTCATTGACAGTGTGCTGCTACTCATTCTATTCATGTGTTTCTACTGTTGTTTTGGTGCTGTACTGCTGCTGGAGCTTTAATTTTCCACAGAGAACTCCTGAGGGATTAATAAAGTGCTATCTATCTATCTACAGCGGGAGTTTCACAACAAAACCTAACAGAACTGTAATGTTCCGATCGCAGCGGTGAAAATGCACGGCTGTATGAAAGGCATGGAGGTTAATGGTGTTTAAACAAAGCACACTCTGAACGCACAGGTACGACGGCAGCTTGAATGATCTCCAGTCACACCTTTGGCCAGATCATAGATAGATCTATCTATGAGTCAAGCTCAGGTGAAGACACGAGTAAAAAAAACCCACGTTATAGCGCAGCCACCTGGAGGTCAGATAATAAGGTCGTCTCCCGGGTCTAAACCCAAAAGCCTTGGGAAAGAGATGAGGGTCAGTGACTAAAACTTCTGTGTTGTACAAGTTCATTACAATCTAGAGCAGAATGAGCTAGAGCAGGTCAGGTCAGACTGGTGAGACACATGTCTTACTCACGTTAGGCTGCGTCTCTGGAGAGTTCCCTGTGCTGGAACTGTCACTGCTGTAGTCTGACGTGTTCCTCCTGTGGGTCGGGACAAATCTCTGCACCGTGGGGAGAGAACAGGAGGTTACTTCTGGATCCATCATTACGAAAAAGATTTTTTATTCATTGAATTATTATCAATATTTTTGGGACGGGGTATTTAAGGAAGATTAACCACAACCAGCTTTAGAGAGACAATCTGGGAAAGATTTTGTCTCTTCAAACATGACTGGGTTAAAAATGATCTCAAAGATCTCATGTGAACTCAAAGCCTAGGATTAACATTAGCTCCTACTATTATTAATGTGGTCTGTATGATGAAAAGGAGGCTTCAGGGATAATTAAGCTTCATGTTGACTATTTTATGTTGAGTATTTACATAGTACATAGTAATTTAGGCTTTTTGGGTTGAAATGCCCTGGAATATGTCGTATTTGAAAACCCTACCAACAGTCACTGTGGGTCACTGCACTTTAAAATCTAGGCCACTTAAACTTACATTTGTCTTGTATTTGAAAGCCAAGTGGCTAATTTACAGTTTTTGATATATATATTACAGCCTAACAAAGTGACAACGTCACACTGTAGATGGATTCAGCAGAAAGAAGAACTCTAATGGTTTCATGAGGAGAGGTTTCGTTTTCTTTCTTTCGTTCGTTAGAGCAAATGTGATGGTAAAGTGTTATAGGAAGTGTGACCAGATGTCTGGCAGCAGGTATTAGGCAACAAACGACAAGAAGTCTGTAATAGGTCCCACGTTGACACATTCTGAACAGATGCAGTCTGCCAGCCATTTCTCAACAGAATGGATTTACACCAGGCCTCAGGTAATCAGAGTGAGAGCTCGCTCACAGAGGCGGCCATTGTTGTCCCGCCCACACGTGTCAGATAATAAACCTCCCACCACCACTGCACTGCCCAACAGGACAAACACAGGGCCCTTATTTGTGTTCAGCCACCACCAGGTGTTTGTGCACAAAGGTAGTCCCCCATGCCCCCCCTCCACCTCACCCCACTGCTGCTGCTACTGTAAACAAGAGAAGATTGCAGTCGATTTGCGATGCTAAATAAGGGTTAAAATGGCAGGGGATGAAAGGAGGATTCGCCCTCACTACATTTACAGGTTTAGGTTTAATCCAGCCACCACACCCTGGATGTGTGAGGCTGCACAAGTGTGTGTGCATTCATGAATAGGGGAGAACAGACACAATGTTTGGGAGTGTGTGTGTTTGTACCCCATCATCCTGTGGTAAGCTGAGCTGAACGGGCCCCATGGTGTGTCTCCAGTTTTTTATCACTGACACATTTTCTGCCTCGACACCATTCTCCACCCTGTACAGACCCGGAGACACAGGAGGCTGCAGGGACAAAAACACAACTCACTTCAGGTGTTAAACTGGGCTCATTTAAAGAGGTGAAAGGCCAAACCCAAAGTGTGTTTCACTTCAAGCGTGCTTATATATATATATATGTTCTGTTTCAATAAAGCGATGATTGGAAATACCTCTACATTAATATTATTGGAATATTAACATATTATTGGCTTTTTGTATTACAAAAAGCCATTTACCTCAGGCAGGTGCCACAGTGACCTGGATCCATCTCTCAGGTAATAGTAGGTCTGCCCTCGTTCATCCACAGACTTGATCCACTGATGCAGGAGGTAAAACATTCAGTCAAATTTACTTTAAAGGCATTACAAAGGCTTTTTTGGTTGTGTGAGAAAAACAATGGCTTCCCTCTACACCATACACCGCACCTACACTATGTAAATATCTGAATAAAATAACAGCATTTGATTAAAAGAATGGTCCTATTGGCATAAACACATAGAAGAACAGATAACAGTGGGTGTGGTGTGTATGTTTAAGCTTAAACCTCACACCTACTTCAAACAGGAAGTGGCAGCGGTCTAACTATAGCTATAACTATGGAGCCCAATACATTCAACAACAGCAGTGGAACTCCTTCAGTCAGCAGTGACTGTGCAGCAGCAATTTTTTTTTATTTCATGTATCACAATGGAGCCTTGCATCGCAAGGGTTAAAATGTACAAATATACAAATCTAAAGTGACTAATATCTTGTAGGAGAACTTTATAAGCAAGTATGATTCATCCAGACTAAAATATTAGGCTACTTTTGACATGACGTCATGTTTTTATCCCAGATGCCTTCCTGCCATGATTAGACAAGGAATATCAGCTGTTGGTGTCCGTGGACTTGCCTGATCCGGAGTGTGTTCGCTGGTGAACACCCAGGTCCCATTGGGTTCCACGGTCAGGTTCCAACCCGACGGTGTGCTCCGGTCCAGGTTGGCCCTAGGGATGATGGTCCGGCTGACGTGGCTGAGGCTGTACTCCTTAGGGAGGACTGGAGGTCCAGCAGCAAAGATTTCTGCGTAGGCGTCAGACTGATCGACGGTGGGGTAATCCTCAGAGGGGTAGTCTTCCTCAGGCAGTGGAGGCTAAGAAAGTTACAAAGAAAACATTTAAAAACAGACACAAAAAATATTATGAATACATAAAATCATATAAAATATATAAAATATTATTATAAAAAAGTTTAAACCAGGCAGGGCATTTCTTGTATATAAAAGTTATTCTGAAAGAATCCCACAGTAGCCCTGACCCTCAGACCAGACAGTAATAGGAAAACCTTTGTGTTGAGAAGTTGCTCAATCTCAATGAAATGTCAGTCAGTTAAATACATTCGGGCTGAGATCCTAATACAGAACTAAATGACTTCACTTTGACTTTGACATACATGTGACACTGAGCCCTCCAGACATTTAACTCTGACTTGGCCCAACAGTATTTTATCACTGACAGGACAAAGGTGAGAAGGTTGAGAGAACATACAGAAATGTGTTGCTTGTTTCTGAGTTGATATCTAATATTAAACGAGTGTAGTATCACCTGTATTTGTAAAGATAACAAACCATAAAACCATGTCATTTTTTACCCTGCAGTCCCCCTGATTGTTAACGGGAAGTCAATATTCCTGTGTATTGACCACAGAGTTAGGCTGATGCTGAGCTGTGCTCTTAACCATTTTGATAAAAATGAGGCTGCCACTGACTGCTATGTGGGTGCAGGAAATTAACTGTATTACAGCTGTCCCGTGGGTGAGGCTAAAACAGGAGACAGAGCGAGGCTAAGTAGAGCAGCCAGACTGTCCTCACCGGCCCATCCTCGTGAAACCGGTGCACGCTCATAGGCTCCATCAGAGGAGGGTACGGGCTCAGCTGCTCTGGAGGTTCCCAGGACGTCTCCCCAGACATCGGGTTATAAAAGTAGGGTCGACCACTGGTCTCATCCACCAACTGCTCCCAATCTGAGGTCCACACAGGGGGGGGCGAGGTGGAGGGAGAGAGGGCAGGCGATCGAGGAGGTGAAGGGAAGCAGGTCTCCTCTGAGGGAAGGCGCTCGGGGTCTGAGTCTAGAAAAGGATTGTCCCAGGTGGAGTGGCCTGTGGCAGGGTGGTAATAGTAGTCCTGTCCACTGTCCTGGTCAGTGTGCACCTCCCATCCTTCTGGGCCAAGGTAGGATGGAGAGTAAGACGAAGAAACCGAAGGAGGAGACTCGGAGATGCTGTGGCGAAGTTGCGCTACATTGGCGTAAACAGCAGAGCGAAGGTTTTGATTCCTCACCTGTTTGACAACCAAAGAACATGTTCAGCATCACTACAATGATGAGAATTTGTGTGAAACACTGTGTGTGTGTACAGGAAATGATGACCACATGCAATCTAAGAAAATACACATCAGTGAGAGAAGACGGTCTTCGTCTATATATATATATTTATACACAGGATATATATTGCTGTTACTGCTTTATTTTCAGAGAAGCACGTTGAGGACCTGTGAACTTCCTGAGTAGACAGATATTCTGACGGTTCAACCTGCTGCACAGTTAGAGGACAGCATGTGAAAGGGGAAGAAAGGATTGCCACACTGAATTTGTTTGTGTAGCTGTTCCCAGCTGCTCTTTGGGACTTCAATGTTCCAGATGACCAGGTCAGAATAAAGTGCAGCACTACCAGACTTCAGCATAACCCAACCAAAGTTTCTGATTTCACAAATAGAAAGTTTCATAATTTTTATTAGTGTGTCTGACTGACTCCACTGTACTCTTTCTATTATGATGGCAAAAACACGGGACCAGCTGCTGACTCAACTGACAACTGGCCATATATTTAATTTTCTCCTTGTTCTTAAAAGTGTTTTTGTGTTTTGTCAAATTAACAGGTTGACTTAACACTAAAACTTGTTGAACAGTTTTTAACCAGACTTTTCCTCAAAGCCCCGGGTAACTGAGTCAGGACAACTTGGTGTCTCGGACTTCAACACTCTGGACTGGTGATATACACTGTTGTATACAGAGGGTTATTTAATTGTTATCTTTCTGCAAAGCTGGCTTCATTATTGACACCCCTCCATTAGTGATCTCATTCAGTTCTGAACTAATCAGAGCACACACACACACACACACTCACACACTCACACACACTCTGCTTACTGACCATGAAACAAGCTGATACATTAGTGAAGTAAAGATAGTGGAAATGAGACAGATTTCTCAGTCCAAAAACAGCTAGAGCTAGAGTCATGAAAAACAACTCTCAAAACACTGTCACATGGTATAAAACTAAATATGGAAACCAATACATCCGCACAGTCAGGTGCTGAAAGTGAGTCTTTTGGGGTTTTTAAAATGTACGGTTACTTCCATCTCATGACGCTGTTACACCTGACTCTCACATATGACGGTACAGGTCGTAACGAAGGATCTCTACTGATCATGAGAGCGACTCAATTCCTTTGACAGAAAAACACAAGTCGTTGAGAAAGAGAGAAATTCAAACTATGACCCAACTGTAAAAAGCAAAAGAGCCAAACTGACTTCTTGCAACATTAATGCCACTGAACTCAACACAAGAAAAGAAACAAGTGAAGAGGTGACATGTTGACACAAAGTAGGAAGTGAGACACGTACGATGAACCCCAGACTCTAGATTAAGCTCCCTTTAGAGCAATAGTGTTTTTAAAACTGACAAGATGGCCTACCTGAGGATCGACAGGCAGGGTCAAGCCCTGCTTGGCCTTGGGACTCGGCCCTAACCTGGAGTACATGTCCACCATGTTTACACCGGTCTGTCAGCTGAAGCCATGTACCGAAGAATGTCAAATCCAAGTATGAAAATCGCACAGAGATAAACTTGAGATGCTGTCAGGGACAAAGACGCGCTCACACACACACACACACAAACACCCTGTCAAGCACACATGCTCCTGCTGCTGCTGCTGCTGCTGCTGAAGCTGTGTTAGTCGCAACCCAGATAGAAAGAAGAACTGTGTTACAATAGCAGCAGGAAGGGACTAGACGAGGATAGGTTGCTCTGTGTGTGTGTGTGTGTGTCTACGCATGAGTTACCCTACACAGGATAGGGGGTAGAGGGTAACTGTCTGTGTATGTTAAAACTAAAAACAGAGAGACAGAGAGAGAGACAAAGAGAGAGAGAGAGAGAGAGAAAGAGAGAGAGAGAGAGAGAGAGAGTTAGATAAAAGGGAGCAGCAAACATTTTGCAGGTCACTTCAACCTACTTCCTGTCTGTGAGCCCCTGTGACACAGAAGGAAATGACAACAATGGAAACAGGGTTAATAACAAAGTTTTTGGAGAGCGTGTGACTTTATGTAAAAAAAAACGTATTAACTTGTTGTTTTTCATCATTTTTCCCTTTGATCCCTCTGCCAAAGATGGAAAAGAAGATGCAGGATGCTGAAAAAAGGGAAGCTATCATTTTATACAAGAGAAAGAACTGTTATTACTCGCCTCTCACTGTGGTTTATGTTGGTTTGGGTTTTTTTTTTGTTTGTTTTTTTTTCTGTCACTTGTGGTAAGGAAATAGTAACAGCTGTAAGTGTTAAAATCAGCCACTGTGATACAACAAAAATACAAATATGTAGATTTTTATGTTGGTAAACAATTAAGGATTTTTTTAAACTTTTGTGAACACAAAGCACAAAATAAATTTAACTAGATGTGCTGAAAGAGGTCAGCTTGTTGATATCACTGTGTCATATTCTAGTGATACAGTATACTGTACACACACACACACGTCTGAGTCTACTGATGTCATCTTTCTGCTCGTCTTAGTTGTCGGGAAACTTTTTTCCAACAGCTGCACATGACATTGTTTCAGTGCATGACTGGAAATGCTGCAGCAGAGAACAGACAACTCTCTGCTCTCAGCAATGCATGAAGCTGCACTCTGCTGGATCACTTAACCACATTAGCACCCGTCCAATCAAACAATGGAGAACCAAGTCGGGGCCCAAAGGCCCACAGTTCAGCTATTGAATTGGTTTGGCTCCACCCCCTCAGTCTTACATCACACCCTCCAGGGCCCAGAATTCAGGATAGGTCCACAAATACTCAATGTGGAATCCATGAACCAATCACCGGCCTTATCTGAGAACTTCAGACCTGGTCTGCATGCTGACCCACGCACCACAGATATTTTCTTTTCTGGTGTTTCTCCTCTTTCTGTGTAGGAGGGGGGGGGGCAGTCAGAATGTGGACTTCACTGTTTTACAAAAAAGCGAGAGTGTCATTTAAAATCAGGTGTGATCAAATATCATAGTGGAGCACACACGCTACACACAAAAACAGGACGGTCTTGGCCCAAAACGATCTTCCTATAAACCTGCTACACACACACAGCAACGCACAATTAGTATTTGTTGAGGTGTGTTGCACTGAAGTGTGCCCTTCAA